TTCCATTTATCGTATCAATGTACGGTATATTACGGTATGTTCGAAAAATGTCATTCATTAAAAATTTAATTTAAAAAAGAACTGGTGTTGCCTTGGAAGTGGGGGTAGTCTTATACAGCAAATATAGGCCTATTCCTAGGTTTAGGCCTAAACCTATGTTTTAACTGTAAAATTAGGGGGTCATCTTATACGCCGGAAAATACAGGGTGTGGGTGTGTGTGTGTGTGTGTGTGTGTGTGTGTGTGAGAAATATGTCAATAACAAATAAACAAAAGTGCATAAGCTAAAAGGATTTTATAGTAAAATTTGGCATTTAGATTGACTCATTTCAAAAAACTGCAGTGAGTGAAGTTTCTCTGCATGATGCTCATGTAATAGAAATTTATAATCATTAATTCAGCTTTGATAGATCAACAAAAGAAAATTAACATCTATAAGACAGCAAAGTAAAAGGAAAACCAGGAAAAGATGGAAGGATGCAGAGGTGTTTAACCTGGAAAAGAAAATAGTGCTAGTTTCTGCTCTTGCCTGTCTTTACTCTGATCCTAAAAGTTTTTACCTTGCAAGCTCCTTTCATGTAGTTCACAAACGGATCATGATCAAGCCTAGAAATACAATCCAAGTCCCATCCTTATCAGTTGGTAGAAATGAAATTGATTCAAAACATGAACATATCATTCATTATGCCTAGAGTAGATTCCAAACACCCATGTACACACCAAAGTTACCACTTCCTTCTTTCCTCCTGCTGTATTGCAAGTCTTTGTTTTAGTGTTTCAAACATATTTTATTTTACCAATTCCCTTGGCCCATTTGGCTAAAGTCCATATCCCAACCTTATTCTCATGCATAATTTATTCAGTTCTCTAGGGCTGGGCCCCTCACCTATGCACCAGATACTAGCTGGGGTCAAATCAATGACAATCTCTATACTATACTACCAACCACAAGGATCAATAAAGTCCAAAGCCTCCTACTTCTATGCCTTGCCCATCTATGCATATCCTTGCAAATCAAAACTAGCCTATTTAGTCAGAACCACTAGAAATGGTGTAATAGTGAATTTTATATGAAAACCTGACTCGGCCAGGGGATGCCCTGCTATTTGATTTCACACCATTTCTGGGTGTGTCTGTGACAAAGTTTCCAGATGAGATTACACTGGAATCAGTAGACCTGAGTCAAATAGATTTCTCTCCCCAATGTAGGTGGGTCACATCCAATCCATTGGAAGCCTGAATAGAATAAATGGATGAGAAAGAAATAATTTCTACTCTCTGACATTGTTTAAACTGGGATATTGGATCTACTCTTGCCTTTAGATTTGGACTAGAACTTACATCAACTGCTCTTCTGGTTCTAGCCCTTCAGGCTCAGAATGAAAATACAGCATTGGCTCTATTGAGTATCCAACTTGCCCACTGCAGATTTGGACTTCACAGCCTCCATAATCATATAAATGGCTATATGAAGTACGATAGCTCACAAAAGGCCAACCCTAGAAGCTAATCAGTTGCCAATCCTGATGTCTGACCTGGATCCAATTGTGTCTTTAAGACTAGCCTGAATGACTTAGGATATTAATGGTCACATAGATATTTTTGTGTGTGTGTGTGTGTGTGTGTGTGTGTGTGTGTGTGTGTATGTGTGTATATATATATATATATATATATATATATATATATATATAATTATATTTGAAACAATATAATTTATCAGTCAAAAGTTCTGAAACCAATGCCTGTGCCAATGGCTACACATTAAGAGGAAATGAATATTTGGTTAAATTGAAAATTAGTCACAGATACAATTCCTCAATTTAGTGAGTAGTTTAAATAGATAGCTTCTGGGTCCTATGAAATTTAAGATCCCAGAAAAATTAGTGTGGGGGGGGAGGAGTTTCTAGTTTTATCCTCTAATTATAGATATTTCTAAAATTTGAAGTAGAATATGCAAGCATTAGTGAGCCAAGAAAAATGATAAAAAAGAAAGAAAAAATATGAGATAATAAGACAATTCCTCGACCAAGCAAGTGCTAATTATAAAAATTTTAATTCATCCTATGAAAGAACTTAAGGCTTTCAAATTTCCATATGGAACAGAAAAAGATACAAGAGAATTTGAATAAATAAGGCTATAAGAGTTAATTTGAAAAATATAATATTTTAATAAGGCCAGTTCAAGAAATTAAATGATTTGAAAAACTAAATGTATCAAAGTCAAAAAGTTATCACAGAATTTGAAGATTTCCAGTAACTACATATTAGGTCTAGTAATAATTAATGTCGTTTTCTAATAATTTTTTAAATCGAATTTATTTAAACAATACAACAAAATTTAATCAACAATATAGTTGCCGTTGTTTTCTACTACTTGTGCCCAACGCTCAGGAAGCATTTTAATCCCTCTGTTGTAAAATTCTTGTGATTTTGATGCAAAAAATTCGGTCAATGCATTTTTGAGGCATTCTTCATTATTAAATTATTTTCCAAGAAGAAAGTTTTGCAAAGAACGAAACAAATGGTAATCGGAAGGGGCAATATCAGGAGAATATGCAGGTTGAGGGAGAACTTCCCATTTCAACTGGCGCAGTTTTTCAGCAGTGATTCTTGCAGTATGCGGTCGTACGTTATCGTGGTGAAGAATTACGCCCTTCTGATTAATCAGCGCGGGTTCTTTTTCTCTTAAAGCTTGGGCTAACCTTTCCAATTGGGCACTATACACTGCACTTGTAATGGTTTGGTTAGATGGTAAAAGTTCATAATGAAGAATTCCTTTAAAATTCCACCAAACACACAACATCACTTTTTTTGCATGCAAGTCAGGTTTTGGCGTGGGCTGCGGAGCCTCATTTTTGTCCAACCATTGAGGCCGCCTTTTCAAATTAACATACAGCACCCATTTTTCATCTCCGGTAACAATTTGCTCTAAAAACGGCAAACGGTTTTGACGAGAGAGGAGCGAACTGCAAATTGTGACTCTTTGATTACGGTTGCTGTCGGTCAACTCATGAGGAAACCATTTTCCAAACTTTTGGACTTTGCCAAGTGCACGCAATTGATTGGAAATTGTTTTTTGTGAACAATTTAAAGTTGTCGCAAGCTCTTGTTGGGTAATTTGAGGATTTTGCACCAAAAGAGCTTGAAAGCTTCTTGATCAAAATTGGACACACAGCCTCGACCACTCTTGTCATCTAACGAAAAATTTCCCTCGCGAAATTTCTCAAACCAACGCTGGCATTTTCTGGCGCTAACTGCATCTTGACCAAGAGCACTACAGATGTTTTTTGCAGCCTCACTTGCTTTTCTTCCTAATTGGAACTCGTAAAGCATGCAGTGCCGAATATGCTCTTCATCCGCCATCTTCTTAGCCCTAGTTTTGCAACAAAAACCAAACCAAACACAAACTTTTTCAAGCAAAACTTGTTAATTGCACTTCACACATTCTGTAGATACCACGTGTTTGAAGGTTATGTCAATACAAGTCAACGCCAAGCAAGATTTTAAACGAATATTAAAAACGGCATTAATTATTACTAGACCCGATAGAATGGGATTATTAACGTGATCCTGGGAAGATACAGGAGATATTGTTAGAAAATATCTGGTGCTGAATACATTTTAATATTAAGGTTAAATGCCTGTCATATTCCTTCTGAAATTTCAAAATCTCTAGCTAATATTGAGTGTAATGACCTGGGTTGATTTCTGGGTTCTCTATTCTTTTCCACTGGCCTGTATGCCTGTTTTTATGCCAGTACCAGGCTATTTCGGTTATAGTGGCTTTGTAGTATAACTTGATATCTGGTATTGTGATCCCTCCTATTTGTTCTTTCTCAAGATTGCTACAAGTATTCTGGGTCTTTTTGGTTCCATATAATATTTAGAGTATTTGTCCCAGATCTGTGAAATATGCCGAAATATGTATTTTACAAGGGATTGAATTGAATCTATACGTTGCTTTGGGTAGTATGGACATTTAATTATGTTAATTCTTCTAATTCATGAACACAATATATGCTTTCACTTGTTCATATCTTCCTCTATCTCTTTTTTTCAACATTGTGTCCTGAAACACCTACCAGAAAGAATATATACATCCCTATGTTCATATCAATATTATTTACAATAGCTAAGATCTGGAAACAGCCTAGGTACCCATCAGTAGATGAGTAGATTAACAAACTGTGGTACATTTACACAATGGAATTCTATGCAGTTATAAAAATAAAAAAAAAGAAGAAGCATGAAGGAGCCTAGAGATTATTTTGCTAAGCAAAATAAATCAGTCAGAGAAAGACAAGTATCACATGATCTCACCCATATGTAAAATCTAATGAACAAAATAAACTGATGAATAAAATAGAACCACGTCGTCACAAGATGGCCACCATAAGATGGTCACCCCATGTCATCACAAGATGGCCACCCTCATGTTGTCACAAGATGACTGACAGGGGAGGGCAGTTGGGGGCCACCAGGCCTGCAGGGGAGGGTAGTTGGGAAGGACCAGGCTTGCAGGGAAGGGCAGTTGGGGGTGACCAGGCCTGCAAGGGAGGGCAGTTAGGGGGTGATCAGGCTGGTAGGCAGAAGCGGGTTAGGAGCAACCAGGCAGGCAGGCAGGTGAGTGGTTAGGAGCCAGCAGTCCCAGATTGTGAGGGGAACATCCAACTACCGATTTAGGTCTGAACCAGCAGTCGGACATCCCCTGAGGGGTCCCAGATTGTAGAGGGTACAGGCTGGGCTGAGGGACACCCTCCCCCATGCACAAATTTTGGGTACTGGGCCTCTGGTATTTTTATAACAAGCTAACAGAAATGAGGATGCATGTATTTGAAGACCAATATAACAAATGATGTGATTATTTTAATATATCTACCATTGCGATATTAATTATATGGTAATAACTGAGTTGAATTAAGAATATTTGGGGAAAGTCATTTTTAATGGCGAAGGACAGGGAAACAGTAAGCAGGTGCTTTTGCAGATACATGCAGTTACCTGGGACAAAGCAGCATCACGCTCTTCTATCACTGCGTTCATTTCTTCTGCAGTTATTCTCTTTTCACAGGCCTTGGTCTTGTAGATCCTATCCACAATTATAGCTCCATTCTTCTCAATAGCCATCCCTGTGTCTGCATTGTTTATTCTGTTCAGTAATTCCTGTAATGTCTACCAACATCATTATATGTTAGTCAGACATGAAGTTTTAATATATTTTATTTAATATAGGGTTTTAATTAATAGGCACATGTGAATTGTAAATTGACTGAGTGAAGTTATTGAATTTTCATATTGCAGCAAAGATGTACATTATTAGAGTGTCAATTCTCCTTTTTCCCACATCTTAGTTCTTGAAACCCACTCAATTGAACTTAAGCCTCTAAGATATAAGACTGACATCAAGAAATCTCCTCAGAGAATGGCTTACCATGTCATTTTCTTCAGGGTTAATATTTTCTAGCCTAGAAAAAAGGGACACAGAAAGCCTGATCAGTAGCATTTCCTTAGTGCAGCAAAATGAGTTCGCTTTTTAAATCTTTAGAACCTCAAGTAATTTCATTCGACTAGTCTTTAGAGTCAACCATGACACTGAACATATTAAAGTGCCACCTGCTCGACTCCATCTTTCAATAATGCTCCATATCTCCTGCACTGACTTCAGACTGTTAAGTTATTAATGTTTACTGCTATATATGACTACAAGGATCAATTGTTCATATGTGCTCAGATGAAGAAAGTTCCCCAGCGATAGGAGCACTCACTCTCGTCATTATATTTATTCCTGGACTTTCAACTCTTACCTGAAACTATAATTCCTATGTGTGTGTTTTTTTTTGACATCATTAGAAATAAAACAAGGCAACTTTTTTTTTAATTATAAATTTTACCTATGTTACCTTGAAAGCAATAACAAATAATTACCTCTAAATTTGACTTTACAATCTCCCTCTGTTACCTATTTATTAAAATAAATATACTACTCAGAAAGGCTGACTAAAAGTGAACCATATTTTTAGAAGACTAATGTTATTTTCTCTTTTTCATTACAAATATAGAATTATTCTATTAGAGACAAAGAAAGCAAATTGGGTCCCCTCAAAAATTCACTGTCTTGTAAGAGTCACAGTGTTTATCGAAGTGACTATTGATTTTGGGCATTGAAGAAATGCAGTATAGGGGAAAAATTTAAACGATATATCTTAGGAAATATTTATAATCTAGGCAATCACTAAATTGGGTAAATTAAATGAAAATCTGTAAGAGTACAATGAGGTAGATTTTTTTAATGCCCTCAATTATTTTAAAATTGTACTAAAAAGTTTAGATATCCAAGTTTAGATATTCAGGCACTCCTCCATCCCCAATTTCTGTGTTCCTATGATTTAACACTTACCATAAAAAAAGAATACTAGGAAAAGATAATAGAAGACACAATAAATTTGTTACAAAATTGTACCAAACTCTACAATTCAATAAAATAGCTACTTTGATGTAAAGTATAAACTTTAGAACAATGCATCTTAACAGGAAGAAATATATAAATAATTTTCTACACATACTTAAGCAGTATAAGTTAACAGGAAAGTAATTTTGAATTATATAAACTTATTGTTTCTTAAACTACTAATGTCTTCTTGAACTTGCCACATTTCACAAGGGCAAACATTCATCTTTCTCTCCCAAAATAAATCAACAGTTTCCAAAAATACTGCTTCATAAAAGCTGGTTATATAAGAATTGTGAAGACATTCACTTATTTTTAATCATTTAAAAAACTTAGTGAAAAAGTATAAGATAAAATACTTACAGCAAATTTATGAACATGTAAAGGCATTTGAAGAATGGTGGCATGCAACCAACCATCAGTTACTGGTTAGATAAATATGATTTTTAAAAAGGAAGCCACAGCCTGCTGGGCATGGCTCAGTGGCTGAGTGTCTACTTATGAACTAGTGGCTTGATTCCAGGTCAGGACACATGCCCGGGTTGCAGACTCCATCCCCAGTGTGAGATGTGTAAGAGGTAGCCAATCAGTGATTCTCTCTCATCATTGATGTTTCTATCTCACTCTCCCTCCACCTCCCTCTCTGAAATCAATAAAAATATTTTTCAAAAAAATAAAAGGGAAGCCATATGTAGTGAGAAATATTTACCTTAATGTTGTTATTTGTCAATGAAATCAGACTAAGAGATTATGGCAACTGTCAAACAAAACTCAACTTAAAATTTTAAACTTCACAATTTATTTATCTTGATAATTTAAAATGTAAAAAGCTACATTAAAATATAACATTTAGATTAGTAGATAACTGGCAACATTTGTAAAAAAAAAAATTAGTTCTACAGGCTATAAATCTCCCTTTTCTGTTTCAAAGAATTATATATATTCAGGAAGAAAAGAACAGCATAGGTAGGCTATCTAATATTTATATCATAAATAATAAACATAACAAAAATATATGGAATGCCTATGTAATACTTATAAGTTTTTTGCAGGCACTGCAATGTGAGAAATTATTACTTTACCAGAGGGTTTCAATGTTCTAAATTAACATGTTTCAATAGGATATGGTTAAGATAATTGTATGCAGGCTAATATTAAAATTCTGTACCAACTAGAATTTTTTAAATTAAGTTTTTGTATCAAATGTTTATACTAAATCCTTATGCACGTGAATTTAGCATACAGACTATAATTTATGTGATTATCCTTAAAAGTACCTAATATCTAGTGACTGATCATTTTGCAGATGAAGAAATTGGAATTACATTTTTTAAGTATCCTGGGTCTGACATGCAGGGCAAGAGTGAGCCAAGTCAACCACTTAGCACTTACATCTCAATTTGCTTTGCTAAATTATACTTTAAAATTGAAGTCATTAATAAATGGTCATGTGGAGAAAAATAAAATTTTAATAAAAATAAACAAATGATAATTTGGAATTTGAAAGTTTACACAGAAGCAAAGTAACTTGCAATATAAACATAAATTTGGAAAGAGAAAAAACCAATACTTGCATTTTTCTATCTGTATTCATTTAAAAGTCTCAGAAATACTTGTCAGGTAGCAAAGATCAACTACATTATAATTTAGTCTCAACTAGATTATATAGAGTAAGAACAGCAATCTTTCTCTGTAAGCGGTAAGATAGCATTTTAGGCTTTGCCATGTGTTCTCAGGCACAGCTACTAACCTGCCTTTGTAACACAAAAACAGCTAATATATAATACTAATTTCATTTACAAAAACAGGTGGAAGCTGGACTTGCACCACAGGTCCTTACATTGCTGACCCCTGACATAGAGTATTGAACAACAAGGCCAGGTTTTTATGTTAATACACTTTAAGTGCCAATTCAGTATTTAACTTTTTTTTTTTTTTTTTCAAAGCTGACTCGTTCAATGTCTGGTTAAAGATTGATCATAAAAAAAAAATGGTTTCAGAAAGTTAAATTCAGCCCTACAATAAGTTTATCAGTTAAAAGAAACATAAAAATTAGACAAAAAATAGACCATTAAGGGGGGAAAAAAACTATTAAAGAGCTATATATGGCTTCACTTTTCTATATAAAATGTCTATTGAAGTACAGCTTGTACAAAACATAAAGCTTTATTGGTTTAATAAAGACTTAAAATTATAGTGTTATATGAAGTACAGCTGAGAAACTGTAAATTATAAATAATTATTATGAGGTTTACAGTTGCATACAAGAATCTCAACCATCTGTAAACTCTAAATTATGCCCATAACATTCTAACTAGACATAGACATGATAATTAGTAAGAATTTTGCTGAAGTAAATGTCCAGGGGCTCAAGTTTCAATTGATTTCCTATACCATGCAAATTCTGACTGACAACCTTGCACTCTAAGTGAAAAGACCCACGCAGGAAATGTCACATTTCTTGATTTATCCCCAAATCACTCAATATTATGTATTTCATGTCTTTCCTTTCTGAACCTATAGTCATTCTCCTTGTTCAATGGAAAGAAACTAAACTTTGACCTCACATGCTAAAAGAACGAATAAGGAAATTCTGAGTTGTTTTTTATCAGTCAGTCTCCTTTTACACAGCACCACTCTTAATAAAGACACACCAATAATAACAAAGAGACTGACACAACATACAATAATCTCAAAAGTTACAATGTATATATGTAAACATGTTTCTCCCCCCCCCCCCAGTTTTTTAGATAAAAATAAAAATGAAAAAAGCACTGAACATTCAAGGGGTAAGGCAAGGCAGAGAAGTGGTAGAATAATAAAACACATTTGACATTAAAGATACAGTGATCAGAAGTGGTAAGGAGAAGAGAAAAAAGATGACCGAAGGAATTTGAAGGTTATAGGAAGCAAAAAATAGGGAATTAAAAAAGATATGTGAAATAACTTATAATTTCAACCTATACTCAATAACTCCAAGGATGCTTCCATCAAGCAAAGCTCAGTTAAAAACTGGTGCTATCTTAAGAAGGATTTCATTTAAAGGCACTATTAAACGTTCAGAACCTTCAGGCTTCAGCTAACTAGAAAGGAACCTATACAGTGCCATTTAAAACTGTGCTGGTATACTAGTATTAGCCTTTGTTGTTCTTCTTTCTTATTTATGGTTTTCCCTAAACCTACTTCCTCCCCCCGACACACACACACACACACACACACACACACACACGTACTCCTAGATTATAATTCATTAAGAGATTACTATACACTGATCCTAGGAAGTAATAATTCTTCATATTAGTTAATATTAAGTATTTATGTAATTATTTACTTAATGTCTTCTTCCTAAACTGGGACTATACTGCTATGCACTGAGCAAATAGAACTGAACCTTACACATAGTATTTATTTGGTAAATATTTATTAAATAGATTAATAACTTGAAAAATAGGCTTAGGATTGAGTTTTCTCCTTTTCTCATTTACCCACTTCTCCATTATTATGAATGCTACAAGAACAAAATAAAAAAGTCAGCCTTAAGGTATCCTAATTTTAATATATAATAAAAACTATAAAAATATACATGGTGGGGCAAAAGTAGGGTTATAGTGTTTAAATGGAAAATAATACAATCTATATTAATAAAAGGATAATATGCTAATTAGACCAGCTGTCTTCTGGACATTCTTTTGGATATCCTTCTGGACAAAGCCACAGTGGCAGGGGCTGACACAGAGGCAGTTAGGGGTGATAAGGCTGGCAAGGGAGCAGTTAGGAGGCAATCAGGCGGGCAGGGGAGCAGTTAGGGGATAATCAGGCCGGCAGAGGAGAGCAGTTAGGAGCATCAGGCAGGCATGCAGAATGGTTAGGGATGATCAGGCAAGCAGGTGAGCAGTTAAGGATCCAGCAGTCCCAAATTGAAGAGGGTGCAGGCTAGGCTGAGGGACCACCCCAGCCTCCCATTCATGAATTTCATGCACTGGACCTCTAATAATTAATAAATATTAACATAAGAAT